CAAAGCCCCGTGTTCGGCAGCACTTCTCGGTGGGAGCGGGCGAGGTTTGCCGTCCGATCCCTTCAGCGCCAGACGGGACACTTTCTAAATAGAAATCGAGCAATAAAATACCGCTGTGCTAACTCTGGGCTCTTTTCTTTGGCAGCCAGTAGAAATAGATATGATTGTAGGCAAAGACCGGGAGGGTTTCTTCACCAACGGTCTGACCCTTGGTGCGAAGAAGTGCTCTGTGATCAGAGATAGCCTGTACGTTGACGGTGACTGCACGATGGACATCAGGACGAAGAGTCAAGGTGGTGAGCCGACGTACAATGTTGCTGTAGGCAGAGCTGGCCGAGGTAAGCATGATTTTCTTCGCTTTCAGACTACTGAATTAAGGATGCGACCCTGAGCATACACCCCAGCTATTAAGAAAACCAGACTCCTGCATTTAATGGTTAATTTTGGGATGGGATTCACGGGAGGTGGATGGCAGGGGTCTGGCCAACTAGCGAGGCTTCTGCCGAGGAATCACACTTGTCCCCATTCCCACCTGTGACTGCGGCAGGGTGCGAGGCTGTGAGGTGGTTAAACAGATCTCTGGCAAGCAGGAAAGGGCAGACTACAAGTTGGAGTAAGCTTGCCAAGTATACGATAACTTGGTATCTAAAGCTTACGGCAGGACACCGCAGGGATCTGTGAGTGAGTGGTAGCGAAACGAGCTTTTTCATTGTAAACTTCTCCATGGAAAGTCCGTTCTGCAAGGATGTGACTTCCTTGTACGAGCTACCCCTGCTTGCCTTTTAACAAGTTCTGCGCTAACTCCTCTTGCGCTTCCTGTTGAGCTCTCTGAAGTCTGTCTTCAGGCAAAAAAGCCCATCCAGTTTGGTATCACTGAGAAGGTTGCTTCATGCTAGTACGCGTGATCCTTGTGCTCCTCAGTTAACTTCTGGTAAAACCTATTACGGGGAAGGCACTAGGCTCAGGTATAAAAAATGTGCCTCAGAGTACTGGCTACGAGTAGTAGGCCTCGTGGTCGAAATACCCAGCCTAGCGGTTTTGGCTGGCTGTAGAACAAACTGGCGAGCAGCGGACTTTTACGTGTAAGTATAAAAACAAAACTAGAGCAAAATTAGTCTGTAGGCTGAAGCCGGGTGGCAGCGGTACAGGGAGAGGCGAAACAAGCAGGGGTTCTGGCTCTGCTGCAAGCTGTGGAGCGCCAGCGAGAGCAGTCTGTCGTAAGCTTGTTGTGAGCGGATCGCTGTGGAGATGTGCAGGCTGGCTGCGGCGCTTCCAGTGCTCCCAGCTCGGGCAGCAGCTGCTGTGCTGGTGGAGGCCCAGCGCTGGTCGTGTCTGCGTTCCTGCTGCTGACATCTGCCAGCAGCTCACGAGGGGTCCCCGCTGCCCGAGGAGGGGCCTTGGGGTGCTCCTGCTCGCGAGGCAGCTGGCACACCCCACCAAAATTGTGGGGTTAGAGGGGGGTCAGCGCTAAAATCTTCCCCATGTTTCATCTTCGCAAAAAGCATGTTTTGTAATGGTATTGTGGCACGGAAAAGAAGTCTTAGCCTGAGTCTGATTCTTCGCAAGTATCAAGGCAGTTACTCCGGTTCTTAGACCGGTAGCGACCACCATAGATAAGAACCCAAGAATATTCCCTCTCCTGCTCTTCAGAGTCACAGTTCTTCTACATATGCTACTGCTTTTGTCCCTGACAACACTTCTTTTTTTCCCCTTGTTTTATTTAAGATGCAGCCAGGGTTTCCTGCTGGGTGATGACAGGCGGTGCTGAGGCACTGTGATGCTTTTTGGAGATAGCTGGTGGCGTTTTTCTGAGCAGTCAACTCTTAGGACTCGCATAGTTGTGTAATATCCCCGAGGATAACTCGGGCCTTCTCCCAGCCCTGTCTACATCTGTATTTTGACAGAACTCCCGTTAAACTAGCCGAGTACCCAAATACTAAATCTTGAATTTGAGTGTGTTTATTGCACTGCCTAAAACTTGCGTTGTTTCCTTGTCTAACACACTCTTTTTAAAACTTTTTTTCTTTTCTCTTTCAGTCTTGGTCTTTGTAATGGGCAAAGAAGGGGTCCATGGAGGCGGATTGAATAAGAAGGCATACTCAATGGCAAAATACTTGAGAGACTCTGGGTTCTAGTTGCTAGGCAGACTTGTTAAGTATTAGGGGAAGATTGCTATTAAACTTTCCTGGCGGTGAGCTTTAAACCTTACATTCTGGAAACTTTATTAGCAATGCAGGGTGATGGGGTATGAACCTGTGTCTCCTTTGTATCCCTTTGTTGGTGGGGAAAGGTGTTACCTTTTTTTTTTTTCTTTAATTCTGTTCATTTCTGTTTTGTTTCCTTGTGTACTCCAGCATTGGTTATAGTCATGGGAAAGGAAGGTGTCCATGGAGGGACACTCAACAAGAAAGCATACGAACTGGCTTTATACCTGAGGAGGTCTGACGTCTGAGCAGCCTCTCCCCATCCACCTAGCAACTGTCTTCACCACCACCCAGTTGTGTTCAGTGCTACCAGACTGTAGATGGTAGTTTGTGTTTTTTATTTACCCATCTCCTAATGTCATGATTCCAGTTACCCTTTGTCCATTTATATGTTAACCACTGTATGTAACCACGTCCCATGTCTGGCACCATCACTGCACCACGGAGATGATATGCATGATACCGTGACAAACTCTTGGGAGGGGAATATGCCAAGTGTAGGCTTTGCTTTGTCTTAGCAATTAGTGTGATATTGACAACTAAACCAACTGAAATACTAAACAAGGTGCCGATTTGTACAATCTAATTTGATCAATGCCTCTTCAGCACTTTGAGCAATTACACAGCTCGCGAGTCTTCCTTTCACAGAGCATGGTTGGGAGGAAAAAAGTGCATGCATATCTTTACTTCTGTCCCTCTCTTTTTTTAAATCCACATTTGTTTGCTTGCACCCATTTTTATAGTGCCTGGTTTGTTTAACCAATTTGCCACTCAAAAGCTATTAACATGACATTAGTTTTGTTGTTGCACTTCACCGTGGGCTTATTTTTCCTTTGTGATGTCTGAAGCTTGTACTGCTTAACAAGTGCAATCACAAAACTATGGAAGGGTACAGATGCGCTTCCTCCCATGACCTTAAAACCACCACCCTGGACGAACCCCCAGAGACATTCCATCACTGCAATAGCTCGGGCACTTTTTTTTTTTTGCCAGCTCCGGTTCTGTAGTTGGCTTGTGAAAGGCTGCCATTGTGGACATGAGATATCCCAGCATAACCATCTGGAGTGTGTCTGGTTTCAGTTTCTCATAGGACCAATTTTAATTTGCAGCTTGGGGGTCGTGGGGTTTGTTGTTTTCATTTTTTAATATGAAACTGCAATTTCATTGTGGAAAACTGCCACCTTCAGTTGTACTGGGAGCGCTGGCTGACTCCCGCCTTTCTGCCAGATCCCTTACTGGTCAGGAGCTCTGCTGCTCTGAGGCCAGTGTTTGGATGAAGGTTGGTAGTTTGAAAGCTAAACTGTCAAAATGATGCCATTTCAAATTTAAAAACCTTCATTTGGCCTGTCGCACCCTTGCTGCAGACATCATGGAGTGAACTGCCTTGTGCACGAGTCATCCGAACCGTCTGTAACCACACGCTCCGTTCAGGCATGGTACTAACTTGTGTGTCCGTTTGGAGAGAACTGCAGAACTCTGTACACAAAAGAATAAATGGGAGGTGGTGTTGGTTGGAATAACTGACTTGGCTGTCTTGTGATGAATTTTTTTAATACATATTCTGTGCCATACTATTGTTTAAAAAAAAAAAATCTGTTGCTATTGTGAGATGGATTTTAACTGACTACGAGGGTTTCTTTTGAATGGCACTACTTTAGGGACATGCTAGTATTTGCTTCTGTTGTTGGGCCTTGTGGATAATGTACAGATTTAAACAAATTCTTGTTGCTGATTTGTCCGTTTCTTTCCCTGCACTTTGTTACATCTGGGATACAGTCTAACTCATCTGATTTAATACGCATTTCAAAAAATGCCATAACTATTAAAAACACCTTGTTTACAGACAGATGAAATAAATTTATTCCAACCAAACAAAATCGGGCTGTTGGTGATTTTTTTCCTCCCCACAGGAGTCCTCCGAGGCCTTTCTCCATTGCATTGCTGACTGCGCTAATATGAGATGAGGGCAGTTGTAAGCTCTGTCAGACGGCAATACTCTGATAATGTAACTTTAGTCAAAGGCCAGGCAGTCTTTGGGGTAGATCTTCTTAAATTAGCAGATGGTTTCTTGTCACTGAACTCCCCATTGATCCAACTCCAGGGAGAGGGGTTCCCCTGCCATGTGCAAGCCCTGAAACAGCAGCTCGAGGTGACCTTTGCCACGCGCTTTGTTCACTGGGGTAAGGATGCGCTCTCCTCGACTGGCGAAGGGAAAGATCCAAGGTCTCCGCTACCCCAAAAGAATTCTGCCTGGCTTTTGGTACTTGTGCTGCCCAGGTACTCAGACCGCCGGGGCCCTGCGAAGGAGTGCCTTTTGAGCGGCACCGGTGCGATGCGATGGGGAGCTCGGGGGGCGGGGGAGGAGGAAGGCCCAAACCCTGGGAGGCTGAGCTCTAGCTCAGGCTCTGCTTTGCTCAGGCCTGACAGTGCCAGCTGCGTGCTGCTGCGGCACCACCGTTAACACGCCCGTGTTCTTCCCCCGTCCTCCCCTACATCTTCACCTTTGGCGCAAGCGTTGCACCCGCTCCTCTGCCTGGCACTAGAGCCCATCTAGCTAAAACCTTCACAGACAAAGTGTGTGTCGTCTCCGACTGCTCGAGGAGCTTTGTGTCTGAACTGCAGCTTCCAGCTCTTCGTGCTCGAGCTGCAACAGACCAGAACAAGCCCACAGTGCTAAGAAAGTTTACATTTAGTAGTAACTAGCAGAGGCTGCAAACCTCTCCCTTCCCCATAAAACAACTGTGTTGTTAGTGTGTGAATCTGTGTTTTGCTTGGTATCTAAACTTGCACTCACCTTCTCGCTGCAGGATTTATCCCCCCCTCCCCGGCTGGGGAGTGTCCGTCTCTGAAGCTTTTCTGTAATAAGGCCATAGCTGGAATTCACCATAATGGCATCTCAGAGGCAGGAACAGCCATTGGCAGCACACACCAAGTGATTTTCATCCCATTCCTTACTGATTTTAACGTCGTTCCTTTCTGATCAATTGCCCTCCCCTGAGCAGGTATCTGCATGTCCTGGACACCTCTTCTCCGTAAGAATGAGGTGTTGCTCAAATTACTTTTTCAAATGCATTTGTTGTTGAATTTCAACAGCAGAATGGTGCCTGTGCACCTGATTTGCTAGGGTCTACCTAAAATAGCTCTCTTGAATAACCTGAACTCTCAAATTTTACATTTAACTCCCATTTCCAGATTAATAGACAATTTAAATACAAAGGGTTATTTTGCTATGCTAAAGGTTGAACATTAAATTGTGACTTTGGGCAGAAATTTGCATATTCTTTTCTTGCAAAAAGTTATGAGAAGGGATGCAGTGAACCACTTCGTCTCAGGCATTGCAAAGTTGATGCGAGTCCCTGATGTTATCGGCGGAGTTCCCCTCCTGCGCAGCCCTGAGCACCCTGAGCACCCGCTGTCCTGCAGCGACCGGCCGGTCGCACCGCTCCGGGGCTGCACCCTGCGTGCCCTTCAGCCCCGTCAGCGGTCCCAGAGTTTGCTCGGCTGTGCCCCTCACGCGGTTCGGTGAAAGGGTTCATAGCCGGTGGCAGAGCAGATGCCCGATCCGTACAGTTCTCGTGGTTTGGTCCCTTTTCACCTCGCGCTAGTCCCCGAGAAACACCGTGGTTTTTGGAGGCCTCACTTGAACACAGCTGCCTTCACTACCTGCTGGCTCGTCAGCATCCAGGGGAACTCCCAAACTCCCTCCCTGGGATTTACGGTGCCTGCCATCTTATAGAAAAGCTCCCCGATTGCTCATAGGCCTCAGAAGTATTGCATCTTTCCTTACGCCAGCAGTTCCCAGGCATAAGGAAGCAACGCACCCGCCCCACCCTCCCCTCCCGCTTTTTTCTCTTTTTTTTGTAGCATATGTTCTTATTCAGGGCTTGGGTAAAAGAACTGACATCAGAACAGAACTTACATGTTTAGGAAAACCAGACGAGGAGAAAGGAGTAGGAAAGATGCGAAAGCAAAGAGCAATGCAGAGAGGAGGCAGAGCTGCTTTAAGGGCGTTTTTTTTAAGGGTAGTTCCTCAGCTTGTTCAGTCTCTCTTCACACTCAGGAACACCGTCCACCGCTGCCGGAACTGCTTCCTGTCCTGAAGGTTTGCTTCTATCGCCAATCCCCTCTGCCTCTCGGAGGCCACGGCACACACTGGGGGATGACGGGGGCTGCACTTCTGTGCAGAAGAGCGAAGCTTTACACGTTTTTAATGCTGACTTCCAGGCCCTTACTTTCTCTGAAATACATTTATGAAGTTAATTGTTAGTGTGCTTATTTTCTGCACCATAATAATTCAAATTTTAATTACACTAGACACTATTACTTAGCCTTTCAGAGGGTCTTACTTTTATAATGAATGTGTTAACTTACAAATCTGTCAGAATTCAGTTGAAACATCTATTCTGAACTGCTGACAGCATTGCATTTTTAGACTGTCCGATTTTTAATATTCATTATATATTATATTTAATATTCATTATATTATTTTGCACTTAGGTACCCACTATTACTGTCTGCTCAAACACTGGCCCTGGAATTCTCCCAGGATTGCGCACTGTCGAGGGGCGGTGAGGAGAGGTGTTTGCTTTGCTATTTACATCTTCTCCCTTCCTTGATTACCGACGTGTCAAGAAAAACACTTGTCAGGCCCATCACTTTCTGCCAGTTGCTTTTTTACTGGGTTCTGTCCCCCCATCCACCCCCAACAAATGAAAGCCTACCTTCTTCTTTGAGGGCAAATTTAAATTCCTGTCCTGTTTTGGCTCCTTTTGCAAGTAGATTGTTCTCTTGTGCAACGGAAGGTTTGGTGCAAACTTCTTCCATAAGGAGTTATTTCTACTGGTTGGAATAGATAACAGTTTGTGGTAACTGCCTGTGATACCGAGGCACTTTTATGCAGAGAGGATCCGCCTCAGAGGCCCCGTGAAAGGCTTTCAGCTTCAGACACTAGTTACAGCTATTTATTAGAAGGTGTGTTTTTCAACTAGGCAACCAAGTATGAACCTCTTTGAAGCACCACCATCCTTTTCTTGAAGAATTCTTCTGGGAGCCAGCTGTTCATGGTGTACGGCGAGGGCACGGTGCTGCTTCACGTGGGTAATGCGGTAGGTCACAGCCCAAAGAAAAATCCGTATTTATCTTTCCCTGTGGGTTTGGGCAGGCCGTACCTTTTGAGACAGAAGGTCTATCCAGCAAGTTTTAATGTAATACACAAGGTCTACTTAGAAATGCTAAGAGATACTTAACCTTCTGAAGCATTTCTAACAATCAGGTGCTATTTCTTCTTTAATTTTCATTGTCGTTCTCACTGGCAATGGCAAGAAACAAGTAAACTATCTGTGGTACAAAGGACATATGGCAGGGGGAGCATCACCGCAAAGTTTACTACCAAGGCCCGCTGAAACAAAATTTACATTAATACCATTAGGAAATACAGAAAATGGAACAGCTTTTTTTAAAAACATACAGTATATTTGGGATGGAAACAGAGTATCCTTTGCTGCATGCATTTTCTCCGTATAGGATGGAGAACAGCAGGTGAGAGACCAATAAAAAAGAGTGTAATTTCCCTTTTTGTCATTGCAGCAAATACTACAGCCAGAGCTACATACAGCATATGTTATAAAAAGTTAACTGCAGTTCATGGTTCTGGATCTCTTCATGTTTTGGGGTGCCTGAAATACAGTTAAGAATAAACACAGGCACCGGTAACATATGAACAGCAGGAACCTATTGTAAGAAACATCTCTCAGCTCAGTGAGTTTGCAGAAACCAGTTTTCAGATTGGGACTGAACTAGACGTACGCAAGCTGAGGTGTAATTTACATGGTGAAAATCCAGTACTACCTTGTTTGTCATTAACCCCATGGACTGCTGGTGGCAGCCGTCTGGAGGCGAATCATTCTTTCAATACCTTCCTTTGGCCATGCCTCACTGCACAACGAGCGCTCCCTGCTCTTGGCCAGTCCCAGAGAAGGGACTTCCGCTGCCGGGCTGAAGCAGGGAGGCCGGGGCTGCGCTGCGAGCGTGGTCAGAAATCGCCGACAGGAACGCCGCAGCGGCAGTCACCTCGGCCCAGCGCCGGGGCCTGCTGACCCGCAGAGCGCAGGCAGCTTCAGCAGCGCTCTGGGCTTCCTCCCCTCTCCCCTGCACACGTCACATGTGCAGACCCAGACCGGTTCAGACTTCTCCTCGAACTAAAATTGAACAAAAAATTAGTTTTCTGTGTAACTCAGTCCTGCTGCACAGAGCACTGCTCAGTACAGCACTCTGCTGTAGGTTAATGCTTACTAAGGGATCTTAACATGCATGTTGTGGATCTTCAAAAATACTTTAACTTTCGTAATAAATGGAAAGAGTACACAATGAATGTAAGTCATGAAAAAGTTCAATAAATTCCTTTTGATACTTAAAGTGGAAAACATGTTTATTAACATTCTTTCAAGCTTTCCTTATTCAAGGCCATATAAAAAAATCTCTGCATTTTGATTACATGTATGTTTTTACTTTCTACATAGTTACAGAGGTATTCTATAGCATTTACTTTTGTCATGATACACTGGTAAGTACTGAGTTCTGTTAAACAGCTGTAAGCACTTGTTTTCAAATCAGGTATTTGAAAAGAACAATTTTTCTATATACATAGTTTAGCAGACTAACGCAGCATAAAATGCTCTTTAGTAGAGAGGTATATGAGTTGAGGATCAATAGAATACTTCCCTAAAATCATTTTTCTACGTGGAACAAAACCTCCCCTCCTCCTCCCACACCGTCGCCGGAAACCCCCCCCCCCCACTGTAGTAGCAAGTAGGGGTAATGCGTGTCTTTATGGTGGATCACCTGTGAGCTGCTCAAAACTAAACACAGATTCTAAGTTTGCTTATCCTAGGAACTGCTCGACGGAACTGCTTAAACTCAGCTACTGTGGCAAGCTCCAGATGATTATCTGGAATCACTGCTTTGAGAGAAAGCGGAATTTCTTCTGCTCTGTTTTGAAACACCAGCATATAGACTATTGGTCTGTTCTACAATTTTCTTTCAGTAGTGGTGACAGTTTTTAGGAAAACGCTATACAAACATGCAAATACATTTTTGTTGGGCTTAAGGGGTAACACATACCATACATGTAATAAATATTGCTATCGGTATGACCCAGCTGTAGCTACAAAATGGAAAAAACTTTCTTCCAGATAGATCCCATTTCAACAAGATACATTTAGAGTCTGTGATATTTCTATTGATATAAGCTATGAACGTTATTCATTAGCATTGTGAAGTCCAGTTAAACTGTTCATTTTGAGAAGACAGAACGTGTGATGGTATCCCGGAATCAAAAATAAATCTATCTGTAATGATTCAACCATACTACTACTACATGAACTCCTACTGAAGAAACCAAACGGATTATAGATTAAAATATATTCCCTACGTAAAGGTTTGTAACGTATAGCCTTAAGAACTCTTTTGTTCATACACTATTTATCATTAGTAGTCTCACACAGTATTTGCCCCTCTGTACTCCCTTTCCTCATTGGGCTGCAGTTGAACCACTACACTTTCTTCGTTTATTCCATTTTCTGCATCACTGCTATCGTCATTGTCATCTTCCTCATATTCTGAGGACTCGGTCATGTTCTGATGGGAATGAGATTCCGACAAAGCCCCGAACGACTGAGTACTAACTGAGGCTAACGGTCTAAGCAGAGGAGTGTTTTCAGATACTTCGTTCTCTTCTTGACTACTGTCTGTTTCAGAGTCAGAGTCCCCCTGAGAAGGGACCACTTTCTGCTTACACACAGGACATGTTTTTTTGGTTTTTGTCAGCCACGGGTCCACACACTTGCAGTGATATGCTGTTAGAAAACAAAATACATCATTATCTAAGTGAAAGGGATAAGGAAACCTGCTAAATGGTGCTCACGTTCAGTAACACAGGACAATTTTAGAATTTAAGTCACGCAGAGAATTTTAGTCACAAGTTTGCTAGCACACAGACTGTCTATCCTGATGCACAAAACACCCAATAGGTTAGGATCTCAGACATGTGGATATATGCAATAAATACTTATTTCCTGTACTGAATGAATCTGAGAGCAGTCCTGCAACAGGCCACATTTGACAAAATAAACTTCAAAAGCTTCTTGAGGAATTATAGCCACCTTGCAGCAGATGTGCCCGCCATCATTATCCTCGTAATGCTTCTGACCTCCACCAAGACTGTAGCAAAGCACCTTCTTAGTAAATAAAATTACCTCATGATTTTGCAGATTTAAAATTAGGTCTACAGTTGGCATTGCAACTACACTGGCCTTGTTTAAAGAAACATGTTTGAAAGTACCTTTGTTACGGTACTTAAAACTTGGCTCTGCTGATTAACAGAGACTTCTATCTGGCAGAGCTCCGCATGTACAAGGGCAAGCGTGTTGTGTTTAGTATCTGTTCAAGCACATTAGCAGCGTGTTCTCCACAAGAACTGATGGTGGTGTCTCGGGGTTTTTCATTTATCTGTCAGCAACCTTTGATATTGGTGACCAGGTTTAGTTCACTTCACAGTCCCTAGCTGGGATAGGTGCTATGGATCTGTTCTTTCCCAGAATTCTTTGTCTGTCAGCCTGTTTCCAAATTGTTTTTTATGAATGAGGCTCTATAAAGCTCAGTCTATCTGCTGTGTCCACTGTGGATGCAAGGCTGTAACACCAGTTGCTGCTTTTTAAGAAATGTCTTAGTGATGTTGTATTTGCTGTTGCAGTGCCTGGTCAGAGCAGGAATTTAATGAGAAAAAGCTTTGTAAAACTGCACCCAGCCAAAATGGTTGTAATATAGCTAACAGACTGGGAGGTAGGGAGAGGGTCTCAAGCTGGGAAGGATGAATTCTGTCTTTCTTGGATTTTACACAGCTTTTATCAAAAAACTGTTTGAATTGAGAGATGCTCTTGGCTGCTCTTTAGATGCCTAGGCCTCTCCCAGACTTCTGGGTATAAAGTGCTAACATACTACTTGTACTTGTATGCAGTTAAAAGCAGTCTTGTCTTGCGGATAGATATGTACGTGACCACTAGATACACCTTTTGCAGTGGGCTGTACTTGGGAAAGACTGTTCAGACAGCACACAACTTGTCACGGTAAAAATATTTCACTAATCTTCGCACTGACAACACTGACTTTGAAACGCGTGGCTTCAGGCTACAGGACAGACTACATCCCTTCATCCATATCTCTATGTCACTAATAGCTGGATTACGTTCTATGGTTTAATTGTCCTGGAGAATGTGAAAGCCTATTTTTTTAATGTATGAAGTAATGCTGGAATGTGTTTCCCTGTTAAATACAAACATTTAGGGGACAGTGTCAAGCCCAGCTTTTCTTTCATGTGTACGTCCAAAGAAAAATGCAAAACGGGAATGCTAGCCTTTTTTGCTTTTAAAAGAGAAAAAAAGTTTGCTCTTTTCTCAATTTGCATATATACTCCCACATATTATTAGCAAAAATATATTTTATAAATTGATCAACACATTCACTGCGATTTCTAGACATGGTGTTTTAGAGAGCGGTTTTAATACAAAAACAAACTGAAAATACATCTGCTTACCATGAGAACATGGAAGGATTCTGAGCTTGTCTCCATCCTCATATTCATCCAGACAAATGGCACATACGTCGTATTCGTCTCCTGCAGCACATAATTGCGAATCCATTTAACGTTAAAAGATTTGACACCGGCCTTTCCAAACACACGCAGGCAGGTTCTCTTGGTTAGTTTCGCAGGTTGAAGAAACCATTACTCCCCCTGTCCACACAAGGGGCAGGGTCTCTGAAGCTATATAGCTGACCTCACTACACTTCTCTCCTCATTAGCATTATAGCTCATTCACTTTCCCTTCAGGTTAGTAAAAATATTTTAAATTGTGAAGTGCTACGTCTGTAATATTCTGTCATTCTTATTAAAAGTAAGATAAAAGGACTTAAAATACAGGACTCACTTTACTACACAGGTATTAATAAGCTATTGAGAAAACCTAAGCAAAAAAATAGCTACACAGAAAACTGGGTAAAAAAGCATAATAATAATAAAGACTGATAGTCTAGACACAGGAGAAAGTTTACATTATTTTGTAATTCAAACCTCAGAAAGACGACTTACATTACTGACAGTATGGACATTATGTACAGTATTGTGATACATTATATGACCAAAATATGAACACTTTCTAGAAGTCAATTTATTCGTGTTCCGTTTTTATCAAGGGCTTCACAACACGGTCCTTTCATCAATCCAAAAGGTTCTTTCACATTTCCTGGAAGATGCTGGCCCTCTGAAGTTTGCAGTTACACGAGCACATAACTTACGTTCTTGCTGTGGTTTAACCCTGTTGGGCAGCTCAGCCCCACGCAGCCACTCGCTCACTCCCCCCCAGCCACGGGATGGGGCAGGGACCCGGAAGGGGGAAAGGGAGAAACATCACGGTGGAGGCCATCTCCGGCAAAGCAGGGCTCCGTCACGTGTGTCGGTGACTCGGGAAGACAAACGCCATCGCCCCAAATGTCCCCCCTTCCTCCCTCTTCGCCCGGCTTTACACGCTGAGCACAACGTCACAGGGTGTGGAGTATCCCTGGGGTGAGTTGGGGTCGGCTGTCCTGGCCATGCCCCAGCTTCTTGTGCCCCCCAGCCCACGTGCTGGTGGGGTGCGATGCGGAGCAGAACAGCCCTGGGCACTGTGCAAGCGCTGCTCAGTGATAGTGAAAACATCCCTGTGTTATCAACACTGTTTTTCAGCACAAATCCAAAACCTAGCCACATGCTAGCTGCTGTGAAGAAAATTAACTCCATCCCAGCCAAAACCAGTACAGTCCTTTTCACAGGTGAAGTTACTGCAAACAAATACACACATCTCCTGAATAACAAGTGATACCCTGTTGCACCCATTATAAATGATACCCTGAATAACAAAATTTCTTGCAGATCTCTCAGTTTCATACATATATAACACTTTTCACGGTTATACAGCAGGTATTTTTGTTGGCAAAGGGGGCAAGAAACTGGTGAAGAGAACAGCCTAGAGCTGTCAGCAAAAGATGAAACAGGAGAAAGCAGAACAAAGCAGTGAGAGAGAACAAATACAAATCCATGGCATGTTTCTTAAGTTTAAACCACCTCCCTCCACACATATGGATTCAAAGACATCTCTCTCTCCGGGCAAGGACAGAAAGTCTTGAACCTTCTGGTGCCTTCCTCGCCCCTAGGAATCTAGGATTCTCTTCTCTGAAGTATATACATGCTCAACAGAAGGGGAGGAGAGTGCCTGTTCCAGAGTGGTCTGTAACATAAATTAGGGCACTTAATGAACGATAAGCTATGTAAATAAAGAGAAAACGGGATCAAATGTTCCATGGTCATAGTAAAGGTAGACAATGCCTTCACAAACTGATTTCTAGAAATAAGAAATATGACACATTTTATCTGTGTAGACTTTGGTATAACATTCAGTGAAGTTCTACGTGTGAAATGAGTGCTCATAGTCAGTAAGATCAGCAGGTATAGTAGAGGGAGCTGAATAAATGGAAGCTGCTATTGGTGGTGTTGGCAGAAGTTCATTACGCTGGAGAAGACTTATCAGTACTGTCTTTTTGCAAAATTGCTTTGGAACAATATTGATACAAAACCAAGAAGCGTATCAATTATATATATACAAGACACGCTTAAGTAGGCATCAGCAGGAGGGTAACTGGGATAGCACAGAAAAATCCGTAAATCTGCAATAATGGTACCCGAATGAAATTCAGTACTACAACATGTGAGTGCATCCATTTAGGGATTATGTCCTGGAGAATTTTTAGCTGAGATTTCATCAGTCAAACAATTGAGAAGAAACAGAGCGCACTGGTTGATCACTACAGTGTTCCTGATGGGAAAGAGGAAAATGCAAGAGCAGGAAGAATCAAGAGTACTCTTTCCAGAAGCACTAAGCAGTGTTCAGGAATCTGTAATGTGGCCACCCATATCCTCAAAATATTCAAACAGAAACAAAAAATACTATGACCACATAACAGAGAAACTGTCATGCAAGAAAAAAATAGCCTGATCATTTTAATATAACAATCTGAAGGCTGAAAGGGGGTTCATCTTTCTCTATAGCAACACAGAGGAGCAATGCCATGGACAGAGAGAAGCTGGGAGGCTGGGCAGGAAGAGAAAAGAGCTGTCATCTGACCAGGAATCAGTAGGCTGGAAGTGAAAAGAAAACTTGACCACTGGAGCAGTGATGTTCTGAACTAGCCTTTCAGGACCATCTGAACGTAACCATGGTAAAGGGCCAAACCTCCCCTTTTCCCCAAACCTAGTTTTAGGTCACAGCTTTAGATATGTGACACACGAAGTTCCTAAGAGCACAGCATCTGGAAGGAGATGGAAATGGACATCTTAATCCTAGAAGACAATGGAGGGAACTGAACCTGACAGCCAACTACTAGGCTATATTATTAAAAGTAAGAAGTGCAAAGTAAATCTTTTAAGATAAACAGGTAGCTACATTTCATTTTGTAAGGAGTTGTACTTCATTGTATGTCTTGTGAATATTTACCTGATCAAGCCAGGAGAGGGACTGAAGCAGTTGTTACTGTTTAGCCCGGGTTGGCAACAAAGAACCATACGGTCGCTCTCTCACTCTTCCCCCCACAGTGGGATGGGGAGGAGAATCAGAAGGAAAAGGCAAAACTCGTGGGTTGGGATAAAAACAGTTTAACAGAACAGCAAAGGGAGCAGAGAACAACAACAAGAGCACTGATAAAAAGAATATAGAGAGTACAATGTTCTAACCGCCTGATGCTCAGCTTGCTCCTGCGTAGTAAATCGCCCTGCTCCAGCCAGCTCCCTCCCTTAAATACCAAGCATGATGTTACATGGTATGGAATATCCTGCTCGGTCGTCTGGTTTGGGTCAGCCCAGCCGGGTTCCTCTTAAAAATAAGCCTATCCCAGCCGAACCCAGGACAGCAGTGAAAGGGTCCCTGTCATTGTTTGGATCCCTTGGTTTGACATGAGCTGGGCTGAGTATCTGCTTAGCTCGTCAAGGCTGGATAAGTTCTGGCCATGCGCACAAAGCCACTGTATCTACAGAATCTGGTGAACTCTTCTTTCATACACCTCTTGCAGCTTCCACACATCCAACGCTGCTACTCGTTATTTCCAGAAGGTTCCTCTCCTATCATGCTATTAGCACTTTAGACAACTGCACCTTACTATCTTAACACTGTCCAGTACTGCATCATCTCTTCACAAGCAGCTTCTTGCAAGGGCTCCACATTCTCCTGACCATGAAGTGTTCTTTAGACGCCCAAACTACAGTGTACCAGAAAAAAAAAAATCAGTCTGTCCCCAGTCGTCTCTCCTCCTGTTAAGTCCCCCCGTCACACGGCTAGGAGCACATGTGGCAGCAGACTAAACTGCAAGCTTTCCTGTCACTTGACTAACACGTTTGGTTGAGGGACTGGATGGTCACAGCGTGAAGTGACCCAACGAGTATTTGTACATCCCATCATAAGGGCAGTCATCTGCCCAACACGTGGTGCTAGGGTGCCTGCATCCAGGTTATACACTCTGTCATAAGGAAAGGAACCAACGATAGCTCCTCAGGAAAAAAAGATTACATGGCCCACCTTGCCCAAAGGATGGACACCCCAGATACAGCTTGCGATATCCTGGGGGTGGCCCCAAAGAACTATGTCACTCTCACCGTGTATTTTGGCTAAGTATTCGTCATAGCAGTCCTAGCCCACTACGTCTGCCTGTTCCCAACCTGTACCATCTTCACAGCTGCTTCTTACCTTCCCAGTGCTCAGCAGTTTACGTTTTCACCATCTTCAGGGCTAGCTAAGATCCTGGGTTTTACCATACAGCAGAGGAGCTTGGGAAGTAAGGAGATGTAGCTCCCATCAGAAAGAGTATGCGCAGAGAAGGTTCACTCTCTCATATACCAAAATACGAATGGGAAAAGGCATACAGCAAGGCAGAGACCTCTGTAAGAGAAATGAGGCCCCTGTGATCTTGTCACCTCAAGGTAAAAGAACGAAGGGTTGAGATGGTGTCCCTTGTTCCCACTGCCCCCTCAGGGCAGCTTTCCCCATCTCCTTTCAACCTTTTCCAGCTCCTTCTGAATTCCACCTAAACTAAGCCCCATCCATTCCATAAGTGTCACCTCATCAGTCATCCTCACAACTCAATTCCCTACTCCTGTTCCACACAGTGTCACCTTATTCCTCTCCCAGTAAACTTCTATCAAGTCTTTTCTGGACTATCTACTGCACTAAAATGTCATTGTTGCACACTGCTCTGAGGTTGGACACTGGAGATGTCAGAGTTAAGTGCCTAAGACTGACGTGTGCTGGGGCTAGGGTTAACCACAAGAAGAATCTCTTACACCTTTCAACGTACACATATCACACACAGTAATCTGTGACACAACACTGTTCAGCACAAACTTAGGTATTTGTTTTTCATTATTTTCGTTATTATTCCCATTTTACTTCCAAAGCACTGTCCAAATTACATGCATGAGACTGAGATCAGCTGGGGACAAGTCAGAGGCACAGTTTACACTCCAAGCTTGTTCAAAAGAGTTGATATAATACACAAATTGTCAAAGTGTTGTTTTTTGGAACACGTGGAAAGAATGGG